GGTAGTCTTTTACTATTTCCTTATTTATCCTGGACTCCAATGTTCTGCTAACCAATTTTTTTGTACAATTCTTCCATATCTGAAGATTATACTCCTTGATAGAGCAAACAATAAATTGTCAATTAAGAGCTGAATCCTCACTTCTAATCCCGAAATCACAGAATAGTAGAGTTGGAAGGGACCTTAGAGGCTCTCCAGATGTATCCCTTAAGTTGGAAAGTATACACAATGTTCCACATCTGTAGTACTCTACCTCCACAGAGAAGGGGTGGAGGTATACTTTTTCTTAAGCACTAAAATTTGAAGACATAAACAGAAATGATTCTGATGAAGAATAAAATGCACATGGAAATGGATCAACTAACTTAGATATTTAAAAGAAAAATACAGAAAAATTAAAAGGGCAGTCAACTGGCAAAATGTATTAAAAAAAGAGTACACAGTCCTGCAAGACTAGTGTCAAGGACATTAGAGCTCACACTCATCTTCGCCTAGCTGCTGTTAACCTACACATTCTCACACACTCTAGTTCTGGGTTCACTCAAACTTCCCATCTCCTAATTTTCCAGGTGCTCTTTTCCTAAGCAGAGATGACTAGTGGCTCAGAGCTATGCTGGTCAGACATAGCATTGGTCAGGGTTCTCCCCTCATTGCTACCTATAAAATTGATATTGTTTTGGGGAGGACACTGGAAACAGAATCAGGACTCAAAGTACCAGCAGAGAAAGCCAGCCTTGCATTTAGATAAATGGAAGACAATGTAGGTGATGAAAAGGTCACAAGTCACACAAGTCTTTAGTAGTAAGTGATCATTGCTACTGCTGTTTCCAGTTCCATTCCTCCTAAGGATTCCCTGCTATGTCTGTGACTACTCTGGCATTAAAGTCACTCAGAATTATAAGCTTGTCCTCTTACATTGATGATGAGGGTCTCCAGGTATTCATAAAATTTTTCTTTGACCTCATCAGAGTGTGTCACAGTAGGAGCATAGGCACTGACGATGGTGGCATGGTGCTTTCCTGCAAGTGGCAATCACACTGTCATGACTCTTTCATTCCCTCCTTTTGGGAAGCATACAAGCTTGTTGACTAGATTAGTTTTGATTGCTAAATGTATGCCAGCTTCATTGCATTCCCCACCACTGCAACCACTCCAGAAAAATGTGTATCCAGCTCTGACTTCAGTAAGCAGGCCTTCATCTGCCAGCCTTGTTTCACTCAGGGCTGATATTTAGTTGTAATACCTGTTGAGTTTTCCCACAAGAGATGTTCATCTTTCAGGTCTTCTGGATTTCATATTGGCCATAAGTATGTACATTCCATGTACCAATGGTGAGTAGAATCATCTTTGAAAAAGTTTTTATACATTTTTTTGTTTTTCAATCACATGCTGCCTGCTATGGTAAGCAGGCCAGGGTTGGGTGAAGCAGACAATTCTAGGGCACCTTTTCTAGCTCCTTTCTCATGCCAGGAGGGGTACAGTACGATCTTTTTAAAAATGTTGCTCGGACACCCAAGGAGCTGCTGAATCCCACTGCTGCTTCAGTCCAATAAGAAGACGACCCTATGGCCTGGGCCACCTGTGTGCACGGTTGTGACTATGGCTCCCAGTGCATCTGTACCTGGTGCTTCGTCATAGGACTTTGAGGTAGGTAAAAACAATAGAATGGTATGGTGATGTCTTTTGACTGGCACATAAATTAGATTCAAGTGAGGCAGTGTTTCTCAAAGTCACTGGCCTCACTCTCTCTTCCAGAGTCATCCAAGTCCAGTGGCAAGACAAAAGTCAAGATGACTGGCAATAGCCTGAGATGCAGTGGATGACTCTGATGTTTAACCAAGCTCTAAGGGCTCCACAGCACCTGTTCAGCTGTCTTCATGGCCACTGGAACAAACTGTTCTTATTTTCCCATTCTGCCTGGGGAAGTCTTCACATGCTTAGGGTAGGACCCCACTCCCAACTCACTGATGGGTTTGAGGCCTCTCAGTTACTCTCAACCTGGTGTAGTCCATCTGCTGAAATGGTTTCCTGACATGTGGCTGCTACACATGTTGCAGCTTTTTGAAGCCACAGGTGAGAGCTGGGTGGCAGGTGGACCCCAAAGGTGGACAAGCAGCCATGAAAAGGGCTTGGTAACCCTTGCACTAAAGGGACTAATCTTTGAACACCTGTACATCCTCGTAGACTAACAGTACTATAAACAGGGAATCAGAAGTAATACCTTATGGCATTTTTTCTTGTTGCTAAACACATAAAAAAGAATCATAGATAATTCTAACTTGTAGGTAATATGCAAATGATTTCTGCATTTCTGACACTGCAACTCATTTATCTCTTCTATTTCATCACTGACATTAATATATCTTTACTAATACATACCACTCACCTCACTGAGAGAGAAGGTTCACTGAGAAGAACAGGTGGGGAGCTTGGCAAGATTATTCCTCACTTCATTTGAGTGTAAAATTTCTCTTCCATGAAGAAGAAAAATATGTCTAAAAGTAATTCAGTAGGACTTCACCTAGAATCTGAGTCTCATGTTACAGGTCTAAGAAGACAAAATGAATGTCCTGATCAAAAGATATCAGCTAAGTCTAAACAGCCTGATTCCTTGTGAATAATTTCATTTTCTCCCAAAGTTGAAAAGGAATATGTTCTATGAAAGGACAATCTAAGACCCCAGAAACATTTGGGAGCTTCAGAGTATTGTGATAACTGGTAGGCTTGAGTTATCACAATACTCTGAAGCTCCCAAATGGAATGATTTACTGGGGAAAGACTAATAATACCAGCTTTGACAAAGATGCTCAGAAAGAGAGTTAAAAGTCTTTTGAAGTCCTGGCAAAGCAAAGAATGAAAGCTGGGAAAGGAGAATTCAGAATGCAGTCATGTGGGGAGAGAAGCAAGCGAAAGAAGAAGTAAAAAGGGCAGGTGCTGTATTTCCAGATTCATGTCTTGGATCTAGAGGTTCTTCACCTAAGTTTACCGTTCACCAAGGAAATATTTCCTATTCTATGCAGCTCAATAAAAGAAACTAAAATATGACAACTCAAGCATTTAAGAAAAAGAAACAATTTGCCCCTAAAATGTGATTCTGACAACAATGGATGCTTTCTTCCTAATACAAAGGCACTAAGACAGCAATCAAATCTCTTCTATATGACCAGCTCCGATAAAGCTGGCATAATGGTGGGGAGGCTAGGAAGAGGTAAAGGAATAAGAGATTGGTAATAAAGATTAATGATCCCACAGTAAATGCCCTGTGTAGCACTGTAATGACTAAAGGACAATGACAAAAGAAACAAAAGGAAATAAAAGAGAGAAAAAGTGTATTCAAAAATTCAGGCATGCTACAGAGGGGAAACCAATTAAGGAAGCACTAAACCAAGCAGTTTAACTTGGGCAATTAGTGCTAGGTCATTTGCCCTGTGATAAACAGGGTGTCCAACTGGACTGCAGCACACCTTGGCAAGTTTATTTCCCAAACATGGTAGTGTGCCACAGCAAATGCCAATGCAATAATTTTGCTCCACACTGCAATTCCTGTACACTAGGCTCTCCAACAGGCAGTCTGGCTCAGAGGTGAGTCTTCAGCAAGTTTTAGTTGCCAAGAAAGCTATACATTTTGCTAATTGCTATAGAACAAAAGGAAAAAGGGAAAGAAAGGGCAACCTTTCTGAAGAGTGTAAGGTTAGTAATTCCTAGGAATACTGTGGGCCAAAAATTTTTTGTAACTGTGAAAAATCTCTATTTCACCACAGAAACACTGCAAAGCCCCCCAAAAAAGAAAAAGGGGGAAAATAATGCTAATAAAAAAGAAACCATCAGTGAAAATTGCTCCTGAAAACTTTGCGGAATTCTAACGGCTTTCTCTTGGCTAAATTGATTGGTGTAGCAACGTTATAAAATGACTATTAGGATTCACTGTGCACAACAGAAAGTGCTGAAATGTCAGCAGACTATATAGCAAAAGTAATGGGTCTTGAACCCCTGTTAGTCAAAAATGATTTTGTTTCAAATTAGAAATTGATTTTTTTTGGACACAAGCCCTTTCCAGGCTTCTAGCTTCTGTAGCTGGGCCTGGGAGAGATTAACCTCCACCACAGCAAGGGCTGGCCTGATGATACCTTTCCCAAAGTGCCTTTCCAAAGTCTGCTTTGTAATGTTGCTGTGGTCTTAACCAATAACACAAGTTATTTGTCCCTTGGAGAACTGAGCCACATTTTTCTCATTTTACCATTTTATTTTTGTGCTGACGTACTCCACAGACTGGTTGACAAGTTAAAAAAAACTGCTCATAATTGAACAGAAGATTATGTTAGGCACTGCAATGAAACCACCATACCAATTTTTTCTCTCCTCCTAAATGAAAGTATGGGTTCTCCACTCCCCAAAGTAGAATGACTAAGTAGCGAGTAAGCCAGAGGGTACAGAAAGCCATCTGTGTAGAGCTGCTATTATGGTAAAGAAGATGACATCTCCAAACAGTAGGCCCTGTCAATTTCATTTTCTCCTTGAGGAAAATTTTTTGGGAAAAACAAGGTTCTAATTTTCCTAAAGCAATGAAGATACCCAAGCATTCTTCATGTGAGTACTAAAATAGTTTTGCTTTTGTTTCTAATTGGGAAATATTCTTTCTTCAAAGATTCAGAATAGCTGTTGCAGTTAACTTCCCCAGGAGATACAAACTTTGCCTTGCTATCTTCATTAATAATTATTAGGTACCCATTCAATACCTGGCACTATTCTGGCTTATTATGTCTGAATTGCGAGAATGGGTTAAATTGGAATAATCTTCTTATAATGGTGTGCTCAGAGAAATTTTGATATTCAATAGACCTGCGAAGGCCCTGGTGGCCTTGAAGGCACATTTTTGTCTGTGACTGTTAAATTCAAATCCTTGACTTATTGGCAAGCCATAATTTGCTTGAAAGCACCCACCAACATTCTCCCAAATTCCTGCTTCCTTCACACTTTGGTATCCCAGAGCTTCAAGTTACCTCTTCTGGATCTGCTCATGTCATTCTTTTGATACGTCCAAAGAACATCTTCGTCTACAGCTGACCGAAACCCAACTGTTTTCTTCCCCGTCCTGTGCCCTTCACTGTGCAGTGTGGATCCTTTATTGGGTGATGATGTTCTTAGCAGGTAATCATCACACTTCAACTTCAGTAAGCTGGAAGGGGTGAAAACATAGGAACCATTAGAGAGTACCACCCATTAATAAGCAATGACAGTAGGCCTCAGACACTTATTAGCTATATGACCCTGTGTCACAATCTCACATCCTTCTACCTCGCCACTTTTAATCTACTTGAATCACACTTCACTTGCATTGTCTTAGTTCTTCATTAAGTCATTCAGTCCATTAATCTGGTTCTTGTCTCACTTTCTTCTGTACCAACTCTTGAAATGCTTAGCCATTTCAATAATACTCCTCCATGTTTGAAACCAAAGATGGTTTGGTTTTTTTTT